TGCAATGGATGGGTGTGAAAGTTGGACCATAAGGAAGGCTGAGCACCAAAGAATGGAGGCCTTTGAACTCTGGTGCTGGAGAAGACTCCTGCATTGAGTCCCTTGGACTGTAAGGCCATCCAACCGGTCAGTCCTAGAGGAGATCCACCTTGACTGCTCTTTAGAAGGCCAGATCCTGAAGAAGAAACTCAAATCATTTGGCCACCTGATGAGAAGGACTCCCTGGAGAAGAGCCTCATGCTGGGAACGATGGAGGGCAAAAGAAGGGGACAGCAGAGAAGGAGGTGGCTGGATGGAGTCACTGAAGCAGTTGGTGTGAGCTTAAATGGACTCGAGGATGGTAAAGGACAGGAAGGCCTGGAGGAACGTTGTCCGTGGGGTCACGATGGGCTGGACATGACTTCACAACTAACAACAAATAGTTTGCTTCCCTGTTTCTCCTGAAGGTTGGTGGCCTCCTAGCTTTGGAACACATTCATCGTCCACCTGTGGCCTTACTCCCAAGTTGACCCCGGTTCTTTCCTTTTGTCTGGCAACTCTGCGCATGAGCACACTGGGAACAGGCTCCAGCTGTTTGTCTGCCTCATTGATGTCTGACTCTGAAGGTAGCTGATAACTGGCATACGGCTCTGGCCCCCTCTCTGCCTCTGACACTGAGCCATCATTTGAGCCTTCCCCAGACTCCAGGACTGGCCCAGGTTCCACCCCAACCTCCCCACTCTCCGAATCTTCTGCCAGCTCTGCCCGCCATTCCACGATGGTAGCATCAAGGCGATGTCACCACCACATGCATAATTTCCTTCAATCCTCTATTTCGCAGACCCCAACTCTTTGCCTCACATTGGGGGGACCGCCTGCCTGGGAAAAACTGCCAGGGTGACATCATGCAACTGTCATGGCTCCCTCTGTGGCTTTCTTGTCTTCCTCCGTCTTCCCTGAGTTTTCCTGCCACCCTTCGAGCTCAGGACCCTGGACAGCACCCTGGAGTTTGGGGGAATTGGTAGTTTTTAAAACAGATTCGAGTTAATGTCAGGGTTCCAAGCAACACCCCAAACGAAAGAAGACGCTGGGGCTTCTTGAGAGACCGCCTACTACTTGAGAGACCGCCTACTGCCAATTACCTCCACTAGGCCAATAAGATCCCATAGATTAGGCCTCCTCCGAATTCCATCAGCCGGTCAATGTCGACTGGCAACTACCCGGAGGAGGGCCTTCTCGGTGGCTGCTCCGACCCTCTGGAACGATCTCCCCATGGAGATTCGTACCCTCACCACCCTTCAGACCCGTGTAGCCCTTAAAACCTGGCTGTCCCGACAGGCCTGGGGCTAAAGACTTCAACCCCACCCGAATAGTATGACTGTTGCATTTTTTAACGATGTATTGTTTTCATGTATGTAACGTGTTTTGTCCTTCCCTCCCCCCGAATTGTGAGCCGCTCTGAGTTCCCTCAGGGAAAAGGGCGGCATACAAATAAAGTAAATGAAATGAAATGAAATAAAGTAAATGCTTGAGGTTCCTCAGAGTTCCATTTTATTAGAGATGTCACGTTGGCACATCTGGGAAAACATGAATCTGAAAGCTTCCAGGTTTTCCCCACCCAAACGAAAGTTCAAGTCCCTGCTCAGCACCCACATGCCCATCCCATGGCCCAGTCAACCAGGTACTGTACCAACAGGAGAGGGATCCCAGTCACACCGCTCCAGGTGCAGGGCAAGACGTCCTTGACTCTCTGAGAAAGGAATGTTATGACGACTATATATCTCCCATGCGCCATGTAATCCCCCCCCTCCCAGTTTCCCACAGCATTCAATCTGGCAGGCCGGAAGGCCCAATGCAAAAAATGGCTCCCAGGCCCGACAGCCACATTCCGATGATGTTGTCTCCAATGTACACAATTTTTGTTTTGCCTTCCTGCTTGGCAGCCTGCCAGCTTGGGACTCCAGAAAGGTGCCTGGCTCAATAAATAAATGAATAAAAAGGGACTCTTCTGAGCTTCGGACAGGCCTCTCTTTGCAACTGAATTTGGAGCAGACTCTCACGAAACTTTTTTTAAAGAAAATTACCAAATATATTAAAAGCGCATTACTCTCTGCCTTCGGTTACAGCCTGTCCCTTTTGTCAACGCGGTGTCTCAAGTCTACGCAGATAAGCATCTCTGGATTTGGGCTCCACGCTCCCCCCCCACCCCAGGCGAGACACAAACAGTGCCACCAGAAAGGAAATTAAAAAAAAAAGTCGAGACACACGTTTCTCTCCCGGGGGCCGCGGAGAATGAAACACGAGCCGTTATCAGAATAGAGGAGCTTAATATTCCTTGCAAGATGAAGTGAGGAAATGGCGCTTGCCTCTGTAGAGGCAGATTGGACCATTCAAACTTGCCCCATTTCTCATAACTTACAAGCAAAATAATAATAAATAAAAAAAGTCCAGCAGACACAGGTCCATCTGGACAAGGTGGAGATATTTCAGCAGACACAATTTTCAGCACCACCACCACCCCAGCAAGTAAATAATAGGCATTTCTAAGCCCTGTCATGGCCCCATCGGTGCACGTGTCGGAGAAGTTGGAAGCTGGACTGCCCGATAGGGATGGCATCTCTCCCTTGGCAAGTTTGGAGGCCAGGAGCTGGGATGATGCTTTCCCAGGCCCCTCATGCATTTGGGGGGGGGGAGGAAAAGGGAGGGCTGGAGGGAATGAGGGAGATGGAAATGTGAGGAAGATGGGAATGAGAGGAAGAAAGGAAAAAGGGAGGGGGGAGGGAAGGAGATGGGAATGAGGAAGGAGATGGAAATGAGAGGAAGGAAGGAAGGAAAAAGGGAGGGAGGAAGAGAGATGGAAATGGGAGGAAGGGAGGAAGGAAGGAAAAAGAAGGGAGGGGGGGAGATGGGAATGAGGAAGGAGATGCAAATGAGAGGAAGGAAGGAAGGAAAAAGAAGGAAGATGGGAATGAGAGGAATGGGGGAAGGAGGGAGATGGGAATGAGAGGAAGGAAGGAAAAAGAAGGGAGGGAGGGAGATGGGAATGAGGAAGAAGATAGAAATGAGCGGAAGGAAGGAAAAAGGGAGAGAGGGAGATGGGAATGAGATGAAGGAGGGAGGGAAGTGGGAATGAGAAGGAAGGAGATGGAAATGTGAGGAAGGTGGGAATGAGAGAAAGAAAGGAAAAAGGGGGGGAAAGTGGGAAGGAGATGGAAATACGAGGAAAGTGGGAATGAGAGGAAGGAAGGAGATGTAAATGAGAGGAAGGCAGAAAAAGAATGGAGGGAAGAGAAAGGATTTTAGAAGACAAGTAAACAGCTATTCCATAACCAAATAGAATTCTTCACCACCTGGAAAACAACAGAAACACCTAATTCCTGACCTCTTGGGATCTGTTCGGAGAAAAGCAGCACTACACAAACCATACTCCACCCTTGGTCCAGTGCACATTTTATCATTTTTAAAGGAGAAAAAGCTTGGATCATCCCAATGCATTTCCCCCACCCGTTTATCTTACTTTATCAAAGCCCCAAATTCAGAGTTCATTGAAAATGCGGCTCGTTTCTTTGCCGAGATCTTTCGGATTGGAACCGGTGGTTTCAAACGGGAGAGATTCCCGAATTGCTGGTGCTGAGATCCGCTAATAACATGGGCCGACTTTATGATGCCGGAATGGCCAGTAAAGGAATTGCACGCCCCCAGACGCCACATGGTGCTCCTCGGCTTATGACCGCTTAAACGACCATTCGAAAGGACGACGGAATTTGAAAAACTTATTTCCGATTTCCAGGGGAAAATAAACAACCAAGGACCATTTTTCCTTTTAAAAAATATGTGGCTTATTTTACGACAGCTGCTAATGCTTCATGACTTAATGACTTAAACCTGGTCGTGCGTCGAAAACTGCCTGGAGAGATGCAGTCTGCCCTCTGCCTTCCAGATCTGACAAAGACCTCGACTTAGCAATGGTTCGTTTAATGACGGTTCAGTTTAGAACTTGCAGCATCCCCGTGGTCACACGATCGGAATTCAGCCTCGCTTGGGGCAACCGACTCATATTTACGACGGTCAGTGTTCCTGGCAGTTGGCAGATTCCCCTTTAACGACCTTCTGACAAGAAAAGTCAATTGGGGGGGGGGAGCTGTGTTTACGTAATAACTGTGTTCCTGATGTTAACAGCCGCAGAGATTCACTTAACAACGGTAGCCAGGACGGTCGTGAAACGGGAGAGCAAAATTCATGCGACCAACGTCTCACTGCACAACAGGAATTTGGGGGCTCCCTTTTGGTCGTACGTCCGAGGACTGTCTGTGTTTCCGGCTCCGAAAAGAAATTTTGCTCGAGACCGGAGAGCAAAGAATGGAGTTTTTTTTTTTTAAAGCACTTTTTTATTATTATTATTATTGATCTCATTGAAAACAGAACAAGGAAATGACAGAGCTGAGGGGAAGGGGGGCTTTCCGTGCACCCCTTAAAACTTGTCCAAACATTGAACAGAAAACGAACGAAACGGAGGGAGAGAGAAAGAGAGAGAAAAAGAGAAATAACACCCAGCCATATGAACGGTTTAGAAGATCTGCACCAAGAGAGAGAGAGAGAACAAAAATTGGGGGGAAAGACCCCAAAACCTGATACCGTACTAATTACAGTATTGAAAGATATATGAAAAAAAAAAGGAAAAATAATAATTAAATGACCTCTTCAGCCATTATGCAAAAGGTGATGACCCATTTACGCTCACTATCGTATAACGTATTCGGGGGGTGGTGGGGTGTTTTTTTTCCTCTAATTTTTTTGTGTTTTTAAAAAAGGAGGGAATCCGGGTGAGTTGAGTCGGGTGTTTTTTTTTTCCTGTCCCCACGTTTCATACTAAAATTGTTTTGTTCTTTGTTTTTTTGTCTTTTCTAATTTTTTTGGAGTTTTTTTTTTTGTCCTTTTTATTATACAACTGAAATTTATATTCACGTAGTGAGTAAAAATTGCAAAAAGAGAGAATTCAGCACCGTGAAGTGGCTTGGGGGGTGAGGAAGAGGAGGAGGAGGATGCCAGGGATTGGGAGAGTGAGGAGAAGGAAGGGGACTCCTCCGTTCAACACCCCAACCCTCGTCCTCTCGCTGTAGACCCCTCCCCCTTACAAAATAAACTCGGTCAGATCCAACTTCGGTCGTAAGAAACGGGCAGCTTTCAAAGAGGAAAACAGGAATGGCACAAAAAAATAATAATAATCTCCTGAAGCTTGCAAAATCGATTTAAGAAACGCTCCCCCCCTCCGGCCCCCAAAAGGGGTCTCTAAGAATATCAAATTTTCCCCCCCTTAAGGATGCTGCACCCCACTCCCGACAACCTCCCTCTGCCAAAGTTTCCTCTTTTGATTTGGAGTTAGTGTCAGTGAAAAACGGGATTCCTGTACACGAGAGAGAAGAGGCAGTGGGGGAAGGAAAAAATAATAATTAAAGGTTAAAAAAAGAAATAATAATAACATCGCTGCAGGGATAAAGTAAGGAGCAGCTCTAGCTGAGGACAGGGGTATAACGGAGAAATTCCAGAGGGTCGCTTCCCTTGACCTGGGGTGAGTCGGGATGGGGAGGGAGCGACAAACCAAGAATTTATCGGACTCGGTCACTGGTTGGGCTCCTATTCCACAGCCCAGGCAGCCAGCAAATGAGTGGGTGGGAGGGAAGATTCAACAACAAGCAAAAGAAGGAAAAAAAAAAAACTTTCCCGGATGTGTGCCAAAGCCGGCGGAACTCTCCGAGATTCTCTGCAGAGTTTGTCCCCCGCTCACCGACGGGGTTCACGAGCCATTTCAACGTTCCTTGTTTCCAACGAGGAGGGGAGGGGGCTTGGAGAACACTTATCACATTAAAAGAGGGGGAGGGAAAAGAGAGAAAGAGGGAGAGAGAGAGAAAGAGGGAGAGAAAAAAAAATCGTCCTTCTGCCACCCCGGTGTGTGCCGCGGCAAGGCTGCCTTCCCCCTGCCACGTCGCGAGAGGGAAGGGAAGGAGGGAAGGGCGGGAAGGAAGGAAAGAAGGAGGCGGGTTAGGGTTGCCACGCCGCCACCATCCGCACCCCCAAAAGGGGAAACTGTTACGGCGGACGCGGGCTCGCCGGGAAAAGGGCAGAACGAAACCGACGCAAAGCATCGTCTTCCGAAGTCACGGCCTGGCTTGGGAGGGGGGCTCGGCCCCTTCAGGGGAGGCCTCCCAAAGCAGGGGGGGACGCCAAGGCGGCCGAACTGGTGTCCGGGAGTCTGTTTTCAGGGGGCTCCTGCGAGGAAGCAGCAGCAGTGGTGGTGGTGGTGGCGGTGGCAGCAGCGTTGGCCGCTGCCGCCGCCGCACTAGCCTGCCGCTGAGCCAGGACAGCGCTCGAGTGCCTGCATTTGGGCGAGTCGCAGAGACAGCTGAAGTATTTGGCTTTAATGTTCCAGAATCTCTCGCCGTAGTCAAACCTGTGGAAATAGGAACGGTGAGTAAGTGACGACTTTACTAAAAATTGTTTGTGTGTGTTTTATTGAGGATTCGTTTTTTGTATCTTTTATTTTACATTCTTGTTTTTCTTTCTTTTTCCCTTGTTCCCCCCCCCCCCCTTTTCGGGTTACTTTTTTTTTTTAGTATTTTTTTAGTTTTTATTTGAACGTTTAATCAAATGGTTATTTAAATAAACTTAATGCCTGAGCATACGGGGCATAAATGTTTTCCTCCTTTGGAGGGTTTGAGCAAAGAGTTCTGAGCTAGGCTTCCCCAAAAAGCACGAGGCAGAATCCTGGTCCCGACAAAACCCCTTTTATTAAACGCTTGTGAATTCCTCTCCTTCACCTTCAGCAAAGGCCTGGCAAACGGTCTTTCAAAGGAGTATTTATGACCACAGACCTTATCTAACTTGGAAATCTGCCATGTCAATATTTTCCAAATGAGGTGCTGTGCAAGGAAAGACTGGGCATAGAGTCTCTGAGATTCACGGACAGATCTTCACACTCCTGAAACAAATGAGCGAACAAATTGTTTCCTGCAAAAGCCCCCTCCCCTTTCGCTCCTCTTTTATTTCCTATGGGAGGGGCCATTCACCGCCCACCTGTGGCCTTACTCTCAAGTCGACCCTGATTTCTCAGCTTTTCTTTTCTTCTGGCAGTTCTGCCCATGAGCACACTGGGAACAGGCTCCAGCTGTTCCTCTGCCTCACTGCTGTCTAGCTCTGAGGAGGGCTCTGTGTCGGAGACAGAGAGGGGGCCAGAGCCGTATAGTTATCAGCTGCCTTCGGAGTCAGACATCCATGAGGCAGACGAACAGCTGGAGCCTGTTCCCAGTGTGCGCATGGGCAGAGCTGCCAGGAACAGCTAAAGAACAGGGGTCAACTTGGGAGTAAGGGCACAGGTGGACGATGAACGACCCCTCCCAGAGGAAATAAAAGAGGAGCGAAAGGGGAGTGGAGTTTGCAGGAGACCATTAGTTCGCTTCATTGATTTGTGACTCTCCTAGACTCCTGGCCAAGTTCTGCAGAGATCGGCCTGGCACCTCTCCAAGCCAGATAAGGTCTGTGACCGTAAATCCTTCACAGTCAATTAATAAAAGGAGTTTTTGTCGGGACCAGGAGTTTGCTTCCTGCTCTTGGGAAGCCTCGGTCAGAATAGATGGGGGAATGGATGTGCCGCTGCCACAGAACCAAATGGGGGCATTAAAATGCAGCCATTTACAAGCAGTACATCAGGAATGTGGCTAAAGAAGGGTTTTCCTCTTCTCCTCCCCCTCCCTCTCTTTGACTTCTGTCTCTCCGCTTCCAAAGCACCCGTACCCGATTTCTTCCCCGGCCTCTATGTGTCTGCTGCTGAAGAAGGCGATTCTGGGGAAGCGCAGATCCTGGTGGGACATGAAGACTCGCACAGCGATGAGGTTGGGCTCGCAGAAGTGGTTGATGAAGCGGCTGACGTTGCCGTAGAAGCGAGCGTCGATGCAGTAGACGTCCCGGTCCTGCAGATGGGAGAAACGAGGAGTGTTTTACAGGCGGGGTAAATAGAAGGGGAGGAAGACGAGTCCGGAGGCTTTGAGACGCTTGGCGTTGTGGCCTGATTTAAGGGTGATCGGATCTGGCGCCTGACTCTCTTGATGCAAAAGGCGATAGAAGAATAGAAGTCACAAAAAGGAAAGAAGAAAAGAATGAAAGAAGGGAGGGAGGGAGGGAGGGAGAGAGGNTTCTTCTCTACTCCACTCCAATCACACTTGGCCAATAAAGATTTCTATTCTATTCTATTCTATTCTATTCTATTCTATTCTATTCTACCAGTGACTAACTGAACAATCATGGCAAGGAAGTTTGTAAAATTAGCCAAAATCCGCTTAACAAATGTCTCGCTTAGAGACATAAATTTGGGGGGTTCAACTGCGGTTCCTACCTTGTCAAAGCAAGGCCCCTGCCCCTCCCCCCCCAGAACAGACCAAACAATGCAGCTGCATTTTATTAATCAACATTGTTGGTGCAACAGTGTCATCACACCAATGTTTCAAATTAACGCGGTTGACGTCACTGGCCGAAGGACGCAAATCTATTTGTGATTCTGCAGACGTTCAAGAAACGAAGGGTAGAGATGGATAAATTGGCTGCTTTGATCAAGGAAGAAAAAAAAAAACCTGGAAACCACTTCTGGACTTTGTGCTTGAGGTAGGGAAAAAAAATTAAACCTGGGGTTTACCGATTGCATAGATATAGTATTACGGAAATGGCTAGTTTAAACTACTATGTATAAAGTTGTGGTTTGATGTTATTAGCCTACTCCTGCACCAAAGGGAGTCAAAATGCCTTTTCTTTCTTTTTTTCTCACCTTCTTTTCCACACTTTTTAAAACTTTCATCTTCCTTATTTCTCCTTCTTTTTGCTTTTGTATTATTTTTTTGGCATATCATAAGTAAAATTGTTCTAAAATTTTAAAAAAAGAAAAGAAACGAGGGGCAGACACGGCTAAATTGGCTGCTTTGATTAAAGGGGGGGGGGAACCTGGAAACCCCTTCTGGACTTAGTGCTTGAGGTAGGGGCAGGGGGGAAATGAAACTTTGATTTTGGGGTTTACCGATTAGACAGATACGTTGTTACGAAAATGTCTAGTTTAAACTACTATGTATTACTTCAAAGTTGTGGTTTGGTGTTTATATCATGAATAAAATTGTTATAAATGTCTTTTTTTTTTTAAAGAAAGAAACGAGGGGCACACACCCTCCCCATCTAATCCATCCGATCAAGGTGGCAGGGCCCAAAACATTTTACCACCACCCCCCTCAAAAAAATCAACGCTAACATTTTGTGTTTTTCCAGCCCAGCTGATCAGTTCCTCCCCTCTGCTGTTGGCTTTCTTGCTGCTTAATTGTCTGAATTCTTGGCTCGAGATCTTCTCCCAAGCAAGATTCAGTCGCCAGGACAACAAATTGAAATCAGTCCTAGTTGATTTCCCATACTCCGCTTTCTGCCACCTGGAGAGGAGCTCCAGGGTAGCCCCGCTGGAAGGAGGGGAGAGAAATCGTGCGACCCCGTTCCTGTCACACACCCCCCACCAAAAAAAAAACCTCCCCAGAGCTTACCCGGTCATACCAGCAGCGCATACTCAGCTGTCCACACATGCACTTGCTGGAAGAACAGTCGTCTATGCACACGCAGTACTGAAAGCGAAGGAACAAGGAGCAGCGTTACTGGGGGAATGGGGGCGGGGAGGCATCCAGCGAGGATGCCGCTATGAACTCTGCAACTGACATACAGGAGCAGCGCTAAATCATTGGGAAATTAGGATTGGGAGGGGGAGGAGAAGGAAAGAATGAGGGGGGAGAAGGAGATATAGAAGACAGAAGGAAGGAGAGAGAGGAGGAGGAAAGAATGAGGAAGGAGGAGGAAACGCAGAAGACGGAAGAAGAAGACAGAGAGTGAGAGGGGGAGGAAAGAATGAGGAAGGAGGAAATGCAGAAGGCAGAAGAAGGAAAAAGAAGAGGAAGAAGGAGAGAGGAGGAGGANAAGGAAGGAAGGAAGGAAGGAAGGAAGGAAGGAAGGAAGGAAGGAATTAAGGAAGGAAGGAAAAAAAGAAAGGACTCAAACAAAGCCATCCAGAATTTCCATATGGAATTTCTCTGGGCAGAAACCACCCAAGGCAATGGCAAAGGAGGAGGAGGAGAGGGGGAGGAAGGCAGAGGTAAGGGGTAGTAGCAGAAGGAGGGACAAGAGGAGGAAGAGGAAGAAGAAGATGATTAGATCAGGCCACCTTCATACAATAACCAAGCGTCCCACTTCCAGCTGGATATGAGCAAAAGAGCTGGTAGTTTAAAGCAATCACGGGGAATCGCAGAAGGCTCCGTTGAAGGAAGGAAGGAAGGGCTGAGGGGGGCTGGTGCTCCCACCGTGTCAAACCTCCCATTTGTGATTGCTGCAGTTATTCACTTACACCCCCTCCACTTCCCAGCAATTTGTCTGAATGAGTTTGCGACACAATCAAAGCAAAGAAGATCAAACGGCAGTTTAGTGTTTATACTGTGAAGCGGCAGTCACGGATTTAGAAGTGCTGATTTTGTCTCAGAGTTTTGCTCTCCCCCCTCCTCTCGCCTCCTCCTCTCTTTCCTCCTTCTCTCTCTTCCCCCCTCTCTTCTCCTCCTCTCTCTCTCTTCTCCTTCTCTCCCCCTCCTCTCCTTCTCTCTCCCCCTCTCTTCTCCTTCTCTCTCCCCCTCTTCTCTTTCTCTCTCTCCCCCTCTTCTTTCTCTCCTCTCCTTCTCTCTCCCTCTCACTTTGTCTTTCTCCCTCTCTTCTCCTTCTCTCTCTTCCTTCTCTTTCTCCCTCTCTTCTCCTTCTCTCTCTATCTCTCCCCCTCCTCTCTCTCCCCCCTCTTCTCTCTTCTCCTTTCTCCCTCTCCCCCTCTTCTCTTTCTCTCCTCTCCTTCTCTCCCCCCTCTCGCTTTGTCTTTCTCCCTCTCCCTCTCTTTTCTCCTCCTCCCTTCCTTCTCTTTCTCCCTCTCCTCTCTCTCTCTCCCTCCCTCCCCTGCTTTGATGCAGGTAAACAGTCTGAAAATGTGAAATTGGGTTTTTTATCTTCTCAGTAGGACCGAATCCTTTCTCCTATTCTGTTTCTGTTTCCTTACGCTGGCTAGCCTAAAATCCCCCTGGTCCCCATTAATTTATTTTTTATTTTATGCCCTGAGTTTCCTCGGGGCAACTGTAACACACACCCTTCTCCTCCAATTTGTATCCCTCACAATAATCCTCTGGGTTATACTGGAGTGAGAATAATTGACCCCCAAGCCCCCCAGCGAATTTCTATTTCTTTCCCATTCCTGGAGAGATAAACTAATGAGGACCCAAATTGTTGGGGGCAAGAGGCTGAGTCTGTAAAACCGCTTAGAGGGGACTGTAAAAGCACCTGTGAAGTGGTATATAAGTTTAAGTGCTATTGCCCTTCCTTCAGCCTCCCCTCCCTCCCTTTCCTTGGTGACCGCAGGGATTAGGATTCCTAACTCTGCCCACTGCCAGCAGTTCGAATCTCACCAGGCCCAAGGTTGGCTCAGCCCTCCATCCTTCCGAGGTGGAAAGCTCTATTCTGATTCAAAGCCAGCAAATTGGGATCAATGAATCCAGGACATTACCATCCTTCCTCCTCCTCCCGTAAACCCAACAACCTTCTAGCACTGATGGTGTTACCCGATAGGGTCATGAAATGCCTGCAAGAAAACCACCAAGCTCAGAGAGCACCAAGGACCCCATAACCTTCCTCCTCCTCCTCTTTTCCCTCCCCTTCACAAGCCCTACTCCCTCCTAACATTGACAGTATTACCTAGTTGGGTCATGAAACGCCTTCAAGAAAACCACCAAACTCAGAGAGCACCAAGGACCCCACAGCCTTCCTCCTCCTCCTCCTCTTCCTCCTCTCTTTCCTCCACTTCACAAACCCCACTCCCTCCTAACACTGACGATATTACCTAGCTGGGTCATGAAACGCCTGCAAGGAAACCACCAGATAGCGTACACGATTATATCGTGTGCCGAATTAATCACGTTAAGAACAGTGCCCTTTCGTTCACCCTCGCCTGGCGGTCAAGCACGGAATCGGCAGTAGCCTCGTGGTACTCCAGCTGGGTAGCCTTCTACTATTCGACTGGCAAACAAATAAGATCAGCCGCTTTTGCACGGATCGTGCGTTGCCCCAACCAACTGTGAGATGCCGGCAGTTTTCGAGAGACCAATGTTCCTTCGGCGCACGTTGCTTCTTCCCTTCTCCCTGCCTTCCCCCCCCCCTCCTCCTCTCCATCCTTCCTGCCCCCCCCCCTTTTAAGTTGGTAATTTCATTTGCTCGTAAGTAGGCATCCTGCAGGCCTGGGTTTTCCTATAATTGGATTGTCAGGTTCGATAGCAGGGAGTGGGAGGAGGAGAAGGAGGGGAAGCCTGCAAGCTTTGGAGTTTAAGGAACATGGAAATTGGCCTCCCTGATTGATGCGCAGAGGAAACTCCCCACACGAGGCTCCTTCTCAGTTTGCCATGTGTTTTGGGGGTTCGTGAAGAAGCGTTTTCGCTAGGCGTGTGCGACTGCCGGATCCAACTTATGAATTAGAAGGATAATTCATGGCACTAGCAGTTCTCCCCATCTAGCCTAATGCCATTTCCAGATGTGTTGGACCACATTTCCTGTTCTGACCTAAGCTTCCCCCAAAACAGATTCCTGGTCCCGACAAAACCCTTTTATTAAACGAACCTGAATTCCTCTCATTCACCTTCAGAAAAGGCCTGGCAAACAGTCTTTCAAAGGTGAATTGATGACTACAGACCTTATCTAGCTTGGAAAGCTGCCATGTAGGTATTTTCCAAATGAGGTGCTGTGCAAGGGAAGACTGGGCACAGAGTCTCTGAGATTCACGGACAGATCTTCACACTCCTGAGACGAATCTAATGACCGAACGAATGAGTGGTTTCCTGCAAAAGCCCCTTTTCGCTCCTCTTTTATTCCTTCTGGGAGGGGCCATTCACCGTCCACCTGTGGCTTCACTCCCAAGTCGACCCTGATTTCTGACCTGCTCTTTTCTTCTGGCAGCTCTGTGCATGCACAG